ACAGGAAAGAAATACAATTCAGGTAATATTTCCAAAGGGGTTGCAAATGGATCTGTCAGTTCACCAATCATTGATAGTTCTAAAATGGCTAAGCCTATATTACATGCAATAGTACCTAGAATTACGACGGAAAAAATATATAAAAGATCATTGGGCCATGTGGGCTCTCCATAATAATTATGACCCATACCTTTAGCCAATTTAGCTCTTTATATAGGATCAAAGAAGTCATCCACTTCATTTGCGACCACATAATATGCCGGTTCGGTATACCGGCTGAGATTGTATGTGATAACGGGAATCAGTTCATCGGCAGCAAGGTAAGCAAATTTTTTGAGGACCATAAAATCAAGAAGATATTGTCAACACCCTATCACCCTAGTGAGAACGCGTAGGCGGAGTTGACCGACAAAATAATCCTTCAAAACCTCAAGAAAAGGTTGACCGATGCCAAAGAGAAATGGAAGGAAATCCTCCCCGAAGTCTTGTGGGCATATCGCATAACCTCAAAATCCAGTATCGGGGCCAGTCCATTTTTATGGGTCTATGGTGCCGAAGCATTAATATCGGTGGAGGTGGGTGAACCGAGCCTCAAGTTTGATATGCAACGTAGGAATCAAACGGTGAGGCCATGGGCACGAGCCAAGAACTACTGGTAAGAGGCGCGAGGCTGCTCTAGTCCGGCTGGCCACCCAAAAGCAGTGGATAGAAAGATATTACAATCGAAGAGCCAACCTCCGACATTTCAATATCGGGGACGTGGTGTTAAGAAGAGTAACACAGAACACCCGAAACCCGAACGAAGGAAAGCTAGGACCGAATTGGGAAGGTTTATATCGAGTCATCGGAATTACCGATAAAGGTTCGTATAAAAATAAAGTAGGAGATGACGCACAGCTACCGAACAACTAGAACGTGACCCATTTAAAACGATACTATTGCTAAGTTACGACCTCATTCATTTTCTTTTATATATTTATTACGAAATGGGCTAACACTTGCAGGCAACAACCAAAGGAGAATGTAGCTGATTAGGTCTGAAAGCACGTGTTGCACTCTTTTTTTCTTGAACCAGTTTTGTCCCAAATGGGTTTTGCGGCAAGGTTTTTAATGAGGCAACAATAAATTGTGCTAACTTAGAGTCGAAGACCGATTTTAAATTGGAGTCAATGGTCGCATCAACAGTATCTGAGTCCACTCGAAGATCGACCTCGAATACTGGGGGCCATCACCCCTGGGTCATGATTTTCAGCAAGGAAGGAAACTTTGTGCTCGAACACTCTAGGCTCGGTGGTTAGGATTCATTGAAAGGGCCACAAGGTTAAATGAAACGTGCCTGCGTAGGTCACCCCAGCCATAATACGAGCTTTTATACAATCTTATATGATACACACAAAAATGAAAGAAAGTTTCTACCTTGCTAACAAACATTTTTGCTTTTCAAAAGTATCGAGCCAAAGGGCTATTCGTACCCGGGAACTTTCGAGCCCAAGGGCCACCACTATCCAATCCCAAAGGTCTACCCCCACTCGGGGACTACCGTCCTTGATAAGTTCGGATGGCTTTGGTTATCGAAACCCGGAGGCACAAAATCCATTAGGAAGTGCCCAAAACCTAAAAGGCTACGGCCACCCTAATAACGATTGGGATACATCTAAAGCTCGTAATCAAAACATAAGGCCTTCAACAAAATTCCAAACCTATTCAAAAGTTACCCTCGGCAAAGACATAGTCTAAAAATATTTAAACAAGCATCTTAGGAAAATCTTCCGGTCACTCCAAGCTTTAGTAAGTTCGAGCAAAAGTTGCATCAAGGACAGGTCTTGTTCGGACCTCTGAAAAATGACTTATTACTATGTTTAATTTTGTGCTAAGGCATTAGAGATGTTTGCAATTATAGAAAGATGCCAAAGACAATTGACTTGAAAATTGCCAAAAGAAAAAATATAAACTTTATACATTTCGGAATATCTTTACAAAGGCCAATGAAAACAGCCTCAACAAAATAAATGTACAAGATACAAAAACAAAAACAAAAACAAAAATAAACCTAAGTCATCTATGCCTGATCTTTGCCGGAACTCGACCCATCACCAGCATCATCGGGGCCTTCGAATTCTTCAGAGCCCTCTTCACTTTCGGGATCAACCAGCTTTTCGGCCTCGACCTCAAGTCTTTTGGCCTCCTCGATCTCGGCAGATAGGTCAAAGCCTTGGGCATGGATCTCTTTGAGGGTCTCTCTTTGAGAAAACCGCCTCACATACTCGATAGTGGTCTTCAGGCAGGCCTCGGCTGCTTCGACATCGACCCTGTACTGGGCCACCATCTCTTCAGCATTGGCGGAGGTCGTGCACATCTGAGCCTTTATGGCTTCACATTCATTATCGATGGCATCCCGCTCTGCCAAAGCCGAGCTCAATTGTGCTCGGAAGTTATCATTCAGCTGGGATCGCTTATTGGCTTTCTCTTTCGCCACCCGAAGTTGAACCTTTACTGATTCCAGCTGCGCTTGGGCGGTTTCCTTCTCCGAGGCCAACCGGTCCATTTGCTCTTCCAACCGTCTGCCATAGCCTGGACCTCATTCATTTCAGCTCGGAGTTGGTCGATCTGATCGATCTTCTGCTGAACATGCGAGGTTTGGTCGTTAGTCCCCATGGCTAAGTCCTCATTGCTAACTTCAAAAACCTTTACCCTTTCGACCAAATCGGTATGTTCCCGCCTCAAGGTCAAAGCCTCTTTCTGAGCCCCATCCAGGTCGGGCTGAAGATCTTTGATGGCCCCTTCGCGCTTCTCACTGAGAAGCTTGTACATATCCCTCTTATAGGCAAGCTCCTTAACCTTGAGCTCGAGCTGGTTGACCTCAGCCCGGTATCGGAGAAAGCTCTCATGATAAAGTACAGAGGCCTACAAAAGGGTGCAAAGACATGAGAAGTGTAAAACCTGAATAAAAGTTCGAAAGGTCATAATGATGCCTTACCCGATTCAGCGCATGTTGTGTCTCATTGAAAAGGCACAACACGTCCACCTCATTCATCTTCACCTGGTCCTCCTCGGTCACCGGGCATCAGAGGTAGCTCGCCACTCTCACGGGAGCAGAAAGAACCCAGACATCTTTCGGGACGGTAATGATTATCGACCTCTTGCGGCCGGGATCCATACTCGAGGCGGGGAACTGGTTGATGAACTTTGGGCTCAAATTCAACCCGCCGGCTTCTGAAGACGGGTACTTCCTCGGCACCTCCAGGTCTCCCAACCCGGAGAAGTCTTCCAAAATTGCCAAGTCCACAACTTCGAAGAAAGAACGAAGGGGATCGTCCGCCCCAAGGGTCCTTTCGTTGGACCACTCCTTCACCGCTCGGGCCTCCTCGAGCATAGACTCGGTGTATGAGGGTGACCCTGAAATCTCTATTATACCAGGCGGAGCGAAGCCGGAATCCCGAGGGGTCTCAGCCCTCTCTCCACCTCAGTCTCTCAAACCTGAGGCAGATCGGCCTCCATTGTCTCCCTTCGACTGTCGCCTACTTTACGGGGGAGGTCGGCCCACGGGCCACAAAATTATCATCTTCCTCGGGCTCATCCTTGAGCCGGAAAAGTGAGTCCGAGTCCGGTACTCGAGAATTGGAGCCTTTCCTTGGCCTATGAGCCACTCTCTTTTTTGGCTTCACTGCGGGGGAGGGGCTCGGGGAGACCGAAGCCTTCCTTTTCTTCTTCTTTTCCCCCGCTGCAGCCCCGGGCTGCTCCAATAAACTCTCTGGTGTGACATAAAGAGCATTTTTTGTTTCGTTTTCAACGTCGAAATCCCAATCATCAAATGTAACAAAATCTGAATCAGAAGGAAGTTTTTTCTTACTTGTTATGTCTTCTTCATCTTCTTGATTCAATACAATACCAGTGGAAAACCAACTGATTTCTTGGGCTGGTTCCATAACAATAAAACGACGACAAACCCAGTGTAATCTCACACGTGAGGTCTGCGGAGAATAATGTGTACGCAAACTTTATCCCTACCTTGTGAAGGTACAGAGACTATTTCCAATATACCCGGCTCAAGAAATTAAGGGCAAAGCTAGTTCCATATTACTATGATTTCAATTGCAAAGATTTGGTATCCGGTTTAGAAAAGAAAGCAGATTTTTATAGGATTTTTTATATTCTATAGTATGATTAAAAAAATTGTAGGAACTTTAATGTTATCGATAATCGATGTTTTCTAGTATTTAAAGAAAGACAAATTGAGTCGTATTAATTTCGTTGATAACAGTAGATGTTTTCATCGGTGCGTGTGTTAAGAGTATGGGCATTGTGTATCTTTGTTTTAATAGTATGGGTTAAATAACTGTAGGATTCATTTAAAAAATTAGAAAAATAGTTCTGTACTAAACTACTCTCTTTTTTTTTTTTAATAAAAAGAATGATTAATTCCTCTATATGTGTAGAGACGAAATCAGAATCTAGAGTTAAGTGTATCTAACATGAGTATGATACGTATACATTTTAATCTTTTCTTCGTATGTTTACATAGTTTGCTTCGAACCAAAAGCAATAAGTTCAATTGAGCCTACAAAATCGACCATAACTACGAAAACCCTCTATGTATATAGTAACTAACTGAAATCTCTAACAAGGAAAGAAAATAACTAGGAGAACAACACAAATTCAAATTTCATAATCAATAATGTACCAAGGGCAGCGCGGTGCACTAAGCTCCCGCTATGTGCGTGGTCCGGAGAAGGGCCGGACCAATAGGGCCTATTGTACGCAGTCTTACCCTGCATTTTTACAAGAGGCTGTTTTCACGGCTTAAACCCGTGACCTCCTGGTCACACGACAACAATTTTACCAGTTACGCCAAGACTCCACTATAACCAATAATGTACCAAAAAACAAGGAAAATCTTGAGTATGAGAAAGACAATGACAACTAAATCTAAGTCAATGTTCCATTTGGTGCAAACTGTTTCCAGTATATTGAAATCTAAAAACATAATACTAATTCTCAAATTAAAAAATGTGCTAATAAAACCTACTATCTTCTGTATAATTCCACCTTTAGACTTTTCCTCTGCTACTTTTGGCTTAACACCACTTGAGTTTTCTTTATTTTTCCTTTTCTTCTTCTTAGCTGGTTCCTTTGGTTTCATCTCCACCTGATTTGGACTTGAAATGCTAAACTTGTTGAATGCTTTTTGTAACTCAACATACATTTTCTTTACTCAGCAGACACACTAACTCGAGACGATGTCCGGTGATAATAACCAACAATCGCCTTACCATCACCATAAGCATTAACAGCTGCCAATATGAATATGCTCATAGACAAAGGCTTCAAAATTGTTTGGAGGCGTACGAATATGACATAACATTGTCTTGCAAGATAAAATGAACACTTTATCATTGTAAGCTAACGACGTGTTCTTCCACCTCTCAGTCTCAGACGTGCTATATTTTTCGTGTCCAGGCTCGTTGAAGTAAGGTCTAGAATTGAGTACTAGCCCCTGAATCGAAACGAGAAGCTGAAGGATTGTAGAATTTTTAGGTGTCCACATTTCCTGATTGCTACCATTCCAAGTATTAATAAGACTCAAACAAACTGTACCATTAGTATAAAGATTAGGATTCATATGATAGCCGCGAGACAGATAGTAAACTTTGGGAGGATGCCTCGGGTAATCTGAAGGAAACACGATATCAAAGAAGAAGAGTCCGTCGTGGTAAGGAGTACCAGGAGCACCGATAATCACTGCACGAAGCAGATCCATTCGTAACTCATAAGCGCGAACACAAATGGATTCAGGAAGATTTTTCTCAAGGATTTTCCATTCTTTCATAATGTTTCTGCAGGTAGAAGTGTTTGCATCTTTGAAACTATTTTTATCCTTTTTGGATTGGTTTGATTTGAGGTAGTAGTGGTCTGATTCATCTGAAACTACATCAAAATGTGGGAATTGGATCTTTTGTCCTTCACCTGCTTAACAAATACTTACTAGTGAGTTATCAAAAGAGAGACATATGAGCACAAACAGAGTTTTTCAAAAGCAAGCATATCAATCTGGCTTATAAAACAAAAGCAGCAACAACATATTTGGTGTGATCGCACAAGTGAGGTCTGAGAAGTGTAGTGAGTATGCAGCCTTATCCCTACCTTTGTGCAGGTAGAAAGATTGTTTTCGATAGACCCTCGGCTTAAAACTTGCATGCGTAATCACAACAGTGTAGAGCAGGGGTGGATTTAGGGGGCGGAAGCAGGATTTCCGCTTAAGGGGTTCAAAAAAGAAAAAACTTCACAAATTAAAAGAGATTGTAGTTAGTAGGAATTGAACCAATGACCTCGTAAAGGTTTTGAATCTCCTTAACCACTAAACTATGCTTTTGGGCTATGTCAAGGGGGTTCAAAACATAATATATAGAGGTAAAAAAAGATTTTGTCATATATATACAGTGTAATTTTCCAGCGAAATCCGCCCCGAGGCGGAAGGGGTTCACCCGAACCTCTTCGCCGGATAATTATACTGTTCATATAAGGCAAATTCTGTTTTGTGCATCTATATATTATATTTTGAATCCCCTTGGCACAGCCCAAACGCACAGCTCAGTGATGAATGGGGTTCAAAACCTTTTTGAGGTCTCTGGTTCAATTCTCCGCCACTGGTATAGATGAAGTAGCGACAACAACATAATAGTAAAATCGAATCATAAATATATCATGTAATAATAGAAATCTAAGATTAGAAAATACGAGAATATCACTACAAATTACTAAAACAAAACAAGAAAAGGCATCTTATTTATATTCATTCAAGAAAGAAAAGACATATTTATTCACTCTATCAATTATAACCAAGCCTCTCTATCATAGAACAAAGAAATACTCTACTAGAAAAATCATCAACAAATTTTTTCTCCACAAACAACAAGAATAAACTTCTTATAAGAAAGACTGCTGCTGGGAGAAAACAGGGTTTACATAAATTCTTTTTATTTACCATCCGGTGTCCGATACCCATTTTAGGGTCTCGACTAATTCAGATGCGCACCAGATTAGGCTCATTAAAAAGGAAACACTCTCTACTAGGATTTTTTTTTTCTATTCTGGCTCAAACCGAAACCTCTTGTTAAAGGTGAATATTACTATGTTCATGTCTTAAGAACAAATATAGAGGATTCCTAATCGACCCCAATTAGTTTGAAAATTGAGGCACGTATTTTTTTGGCTTTCCGCCCGTTATCCGGTATATCTACATTAAGCCCTGACTAATTCAGCGCGTTACTATTTCCAGGACTCCAACCCGAAACCTCTAGTTTAAGGGCGGTGAGTCATAGTTGATTAAGCTTGAATATTATATTAAAAACTAAAAAAGAAGAAAAGAAAAAATACCTGAAGCAGTAGCCATGCTTGTTCTTTTTAATCCACGTAAAATTAAGCCTTGTCAAACTTATTTCTCTTCTTATTCTTCTTCAGTAATCCGATATTAAAGACTGATAATTAAAAAGTATTAATGAGTTGATATTGAGTTATTGTTTAATTATTGTGTTCAATCCCCATAAAGAGTTCTTGTTATTCAAGGTAAATTATCGTGTAGCTTTAGAAATCCTAATATACATAAAACTCTTCTACGAGTCAAAGTATTAGCTAGGGATTGTTTGGTTCAAAACCTTATTCCAAGATTATAATTTTTGGGATAAAAAATCATGATTAAAACCTAAATAACTTATCCCACCTTTTATTTGAGATAAAATATGCTAAATTTATGGTACAAAAAAATATTAATTTAACTAATACCTACAACCAAATACGGAATAAATTTAAGGGATTTTTTCCTTCCTATACCATATATGAAAGTTTATTACCAAAAATGTGCATATTTTGTATATTACCTGCCCAGTCCACATTTTACCTACAAAAATTGTACCATTCGAAAATCAGGCATTAATGGATCAGAATATTCCTTAAAAACGCGCTAAAATTTAGGAGAGATTCTTGGTGATAATTGATTCTACATTAAATTAAATCTTTAAAAAGGGAAAGGAGATTTTATATCTGCGTTTTTTTCTCCAGAACTACAATTCAAATTCTGGAAAAAAAAGGAACGAACAGATATTCAACTACTAACAGCTAGAAAAACTACGAAAATATTCAACTACTAACAGCTACTAAGATTTGAATTCAAATTGTAGAATTCAAAATTTTCGAGTTTCAACAACTCAAAGTTGAAAAAATCTGTTCTTCGTTGTTGCTTCTATCAAATTGTCGATCAGATATATCTCTTCTTCATCTTTTCTTCTTTCAATCTAGAAATCAAAAAAAAAACATCAACATCGACAACAAATCATGTCCAAAATCGCAATTATGCTACAATTTAATGGCAATTGGGATACCTATGGCAGATTTAGGGATTTTGAAGTGGATGCCATTGTGGTATATGAGAATGCAAGCTACAGTACTCTGATCTCTACAATTGCAGAACAACTATCAATTGATACTGTTGAAAAAATTGTAGAAATCATCGTGAAATCAAATAGTAGATTCTATATAATTTGTAGACAAATTGTAGTTAATTTGTAGATTGTAGATAATTTGTAGATATAATTGTATATACGTTGTAGATAAATTGTAGATAAACTATTTTATGATTGTAAATATTTTTATTGCTGTTTGTTATGTAATTCTTGGTGAGGGCTTCAACAGATCATATTCATACTGTGATAGATGGTGTGAAGCGGTACATGAATCCTACATTATAACTACTATTAACTACAAAAACTCTACAATTATGTATAAACCCAGTTCTACAATTCAAACAAATTTACCTACAGTTTACCTACAGTGAATGTACAAATTACCTACAATTTAAGTACCTAATATAAGAATAACTACAATTTACCTACAGTTACAGGGCAAACAGGAAACACATCATCCACAATCATGT